ATCTCCTGAGTCCCCGTCCAGTGCTTTCCCTCTCCTTACTCACAGATGAAAATATACCTGGTGTACATGTGATGAAATTGAGCAGCTCCAGGGACTCCCCTACCTTTGCAAAGCACTAAGCCGAACACGAAAATGTTTAAAACAAGCATCAGTTTTGCAAACAGTTCCTTGGGGAGGCTTGGAACAGCCCACCCTGCAGCAATGGGCTCCAGATCACAAAAGCATCCTGTGGTGAAAACTAGGAAGTGAAACCAATGAGACTAGTTTCGCTACCTGAGTAAAATGCAAAAAAACAAAAACAAAAAAATCCTCCACAAACAAACCGTATCAGTAGTGAGAATGAAATCAGATTTTTAAAACTGCAGTATTGCTATGCTCAAGCATGCAAGAATCAGGAGTCCGGCCCCATAAGAACCAAAATATTGGCTTAAAATCATGAGATTTAAATAAATAATATAGCTTGGGTATTTGCTTTCTGGTTTGGGAGCCTTTAGGTCACTCACAGGTCATGCTTTCAAACTTTTCTCTGCAACCGTGAAGGTCAGAAACTTTTTTAAAATAAAAGCCAAGATTTTTCTATATTCACATGACTCCAGGAGCTGGCAATTTAAGAAAAGCTCCAAACATCACGAGACTCGCAATAAATTAAAAATTAAATTGCGAGAGTTGGCAAAGTGGACGTGGGGCAAATGTAATCCTTGTTACAGCTGAGCAGCCTCACTGAAACCAACACGGTGCAAGGTTTCGACCCCAAAACAATCAAAGGGAATGAAAAGACCTTCATTGACATCCACGGGCTTTGGATCAGACTAAAATCGCGCTCCGCGGGTTTTCGGTGTGATTAGTCAGCTGAAATATTTGTTATGTTATTAGTCAGATGAAATATTACAAATGTTGCCGAGCTTGTTGCCTCCAAATGCTTCACAATTTCTCATAAAAACCTGTCCCCGTTTCTCAGCTAGTTCTAGTTATTAGCAATTCAGGCAGGGAATTTTTGAACAAAGAGGCCTCGTTCTGACCTCACGTCTGTTGGTATAGAACCGGGATGTCAGTGAACTTCCTCCAGATTTGTACCCATATAGCTTAGCTCACCATCCGGCCTGGACACGCACAATTTTTATTTTGACAGTGTCCCCTTCAGCAGATTTTTATTTTTGTCTCCTGCGCGTAAAGCGCCCTTCCCCTCTCCAGTCTCTGAACAATCCATTGTGCCATTAAAACAGGGACAATGGCCTCTTTGGATCTGACCTATATCTGCACTGATTCTCTGTAATTAATGGCCAGCATGACAGAGAGGGAGTAATTTACTGCATTCTGGCTGCTGGGATACCTCTCCTAGCAAAGCTTCTTTGCTGCTGGCTTTTTCTTTCTGCTCTTTGGCAGCTGAACGAACAGGAAGGAGGTTACTGGGAGAGGGTAAACGTTTCTCGCTTTTCCTTCTAACTCATCGAAGTCTCCTAAGATATACGACTGCAAAGCCAGCACTCCCGATTTGGTTGCTGCCGTGTTCAATATCCACTGGGAAGCTAAACAGCGGTCCGACTTCTTCCCGACTATCCAGCCAATGCCACCTACTAGATAACAATAAATGTCTGATACCACATGCGCACTGTTCCATACAGGAGACAAGCCCCAGATCGCAGCTGTCTGAAAACAGCCGTGTGGGGGAATCCATACCTTCCTCCCCAGGAATCAGTGCTAGCCAGGCCATTAGCCAATCAGATTGCATACATGCTTCAGTGTACTCTGATTGGCGACTGAGAGTTCTAAGGAGTCCGAAAGTGACCGCCCCATCCCTGAGACCTCTTAAAGGGTCATCTAGTCCGACCCCCGGCCAAAATGCAGGATTTGTTGTGTCTAAACCATCCAAGACAGATGGCTGTCCAGCCTCCTTTAGAAAACCTCCAGTGAAGGAGCTTTCACAGCCTCCCGTCTTACCGTTCTTACAGCCAGGACCTTTTTCCTGAGATTTCATCTAAATCTGCTGTGCTGTCGTTTGAACCCATGGCCTCTTGCCCTGCCCTCGATGGCAAGAAAGAGCAACTTTTCTCCATCTTTTTTATAGCAGCCCTTCAACTGTTTGAAGACCGCTCTCATGTCCCCGCTTAATCTCCTCTTGATTTCAAAGGGGAAACTGTTGCACGTTTTGAAATAGGCAAGACTTCCCACTCCGTCTAAAGAGGACATTGAGCACGTAGGTAACAGTGCACAGATGGGTTAAATTCTGCTCTCGGTGACATCTCATTGAAACCGCAGGGTGGATTTGTGCTCGCTGTGAAATGCAGAGTCCAATTTGTCTGTGGATGGTGGTGCTGCCTCCTTGGGGATGTCCCCTTTGTCATCTGTGGAGGGGAAGGGAAAGGCAGAGCCTAGGTGGCGAGGGGGCAGGCGTTCGGCGCTGATCAATTTCAGGAACACAGATCAGCAGAGGCTGTATAAACCCACTTTGCCCCCAAGACTGAGAAAGTAAAATGGCTCTAGACGGATGCAAGACACAGACTCATAGGAGCGCCGAGCTAGAGATGGGAAAGGCCCAGCTAATGGGCCCCCCTCCCAGCCAACGTTAGGATCATCCCTCTACTGTAGATCGTCATGGATCTTTGTCCATGGCACCAAGTGCTCCTCGCCCCTCAGCCCTGAGTTTGTGTGTCTAGCTGGGAAGCTTCCCGCAGCCTCTAGCAACGTGAAAAGCACAAATGCCATTAGGGAGAGAGCTGGGGGAGCGAGGCCATCTGTGTTCAGGCATACCTCCCCGGGGGCAGCATTACAGCATCCCAGGTTCCTGATGGATTCAATTTCCCCCCTTTCCCCCTCCCAATCGCTATTGGATTTTCACTTTAAATAATGTCGTCTCCTAATTGCCGCTGATGGGTGCTCTAGGGTGCTGGGCGTATGGCTATCGGCCTCCCCCAACAAGGGCAAAGCAAGTGCGTTCTGAAATCCCCTCTGCATGAGGAGAAAATTCCAAGGGGAAAACCAAACTGCTTGGCCTTTGAACCGGGAGGGAATTTAGCACTTAAGAAATGGAAGGGAAAGCTCAGTGGTTTGAGCATTGGCCTGCTAAACCCAGGGTTGTGAGTTCAATCCTTGAGGGGGGCATTTAGGGATCAGGGGCAAAAATCTGTCGTGGGATTGGTCCTGCTTTGAGCAGGGGGTTGGACGAGGTCCCTTCCAACCCTGATATTCTATGAACAGTACGGGCTGGAGATGGCCAATGTTAGCGAGGCCAGATGTTATATGACCATCTCCACTGCAGCTCAGTCCTGACCCATCGCCCCCGGCTATTCCACCCCCAGGTTCTCTATATTCAGCCCTCTGTGATCCCAACCCGTCACCAGCTGCTATTCCAAACCCTGGTTCATTTTGGTGGGGGGAGGGAGGTGTATCATGGCAGTCATACATCCACGAGGCTTCAGGGGAGGGTAAGTTTGGTTGAGAGGCCCGGTCCACATAGCCGAACGGGAGCCCAGGACACCCAAACTGTAACTCCTACGAGGCACCGGGGCAGCATTTCGCAATCACAACATCGAGGTTCGATGCTCAACTGAAACTTCCTGCAGAAACTTTTTGCGCAAAATCCCATGTAATTGAATTCCCTGCTTTCCAGCCCAAAACAGTTTAGATGGAATATTTCCCACCCGCCCTCGCTTCCAGCGTACCAGAGTCAAAAGGTCAAGGCTGCTGTACGGGTGGGGAGGGAGGCTTTAAAGTGACAGAGGAGGAGGAGGGCGGCTCTGGGAAAAAAAAAAACTCCGGACTTTGATAGGGCTGCAGACCAAGATGCACAGACAGTGAAAGGGGCTTCGCTCTCCACTGCTTGGGGGAGAGGATGGGAAAACTGCCACAGTCAGCAGCTCCCGGAGGGAGGGAACTTGGAATGTTCAGCTGTGTGTGTCAGACGCTCTCCTGTGTGGGAGGTGGTGCAAGGAACAGGGAGCGCAAGTCCGTTGTATTTCCTGGCAACACCCTGCCGCCTGGATGCGCCTGAAGAAGTTGAGCTGCCCCCTTCAGCTCCCCTCCACCCTATTCCCCGCCAAAGCCCGCACCGCTGTGCACAGCTCTCCCCCTGACACCCGGCCCCAGTTACCGCAGACACTCCAGGACTGGAGAAGCCAAAATAGCACGAGGTATCTGCAGGGGTTCAACACGAACACATTGCGAACGGGGGTACGAATCCTGCAGTTCTCTCTCAGGCAACATTCCCAGTGATTGCCACAGGGGCTTTGCTTGAGTAAGATCTGAGTCAAGAGCTCAGGATTTAGCCCTTTTATAAGAATATCTTATATTTACCACCTCTTATCAGAGAATCTCAAAGCCCTAGGTAGGGATGGACCCGTTCTCCATTTCACAGACGGAGAAACGGGGAGATTAGATGACTTGCCCGAGGTCTCACAAATAAAATTGGAGGCAGGGCCAGGAACGGAGCCCTGGTGCCTCACCCCCACTTTAACCACTAGATCACACTGCCTCCCCAAGTCAGGCCTAGCACTCAAGCATCCTGACTCGAAGGCGCCTGCTCAAACCACGCTGCCTCAGACTCCAGACGAACGCTCCAGAATTGTGTGTTCTGTGCGGTCTGAGGCTTGTGCCCTGAATCTGGGTCCCTTTCCAGGTGGCTGTTTCTCCGAGCAAGAGCCACGTGCAAAGGGAACTGGGTCTCCTGTGCGTGATAGTCCCATCAGCCCTGAAGGACATGGCTTCTTCCAGCTGCTCTGTATGGCCCTCACAAGTGGGGCTACAAGTGTTGGTGACATCCCAGAGACTGGCCAGGGAAGGGGCATGCAGGGAGACCAGGGGTGGGGTGAAGGGTGTGGGGAAGTGAGTTAGTGCAAAACCAACTAGCACCTTCATTTGCCTCCAAGCTCTCGGTGTAGCTGTTGGTTTCCTGCTACTTTCTTCTCGGGACCAGCTCCCACCTACTCTGTGCCCACCAATGGCCTCCCGCTCCCCTCACCTCTGGGGAGTGCCCTCCCTCCCTCCCTATACTCCTTCGCCATTACCTCTGGATGGTTTCTTCCAGCTCCTTGGTCTTCACTTCGTCTTCCTGCATCTGCTTCTTCATGGCCTCGTCTTCCTCGGTGGCGGACGACGGGGCTCCTTCCAGCAGCCACCTCTCCCTCAGAGCCTTGGACTAGGTAGGGTTGGGAGGGGAACACAGAGAGACCGGTTACTTTCCTCCCTCTGCACTAGGGATACTGGTGTGAGAACCTGGGCTCCAATGCTGCACCACCAACATAGCAGGGAGGAGGCTGAGCATTGGGGTCTCTCCTAATTGGCCTCCTGGAGTGGTACCACGACACCTCCTACCGCTACCTGCAATGGGAGAGCCGCTGGGGGGGGGTGGAGTGTTACCAGGAACACACATTAGCAAGGGGCTAATGGCCCTGCAGAACACGAGCCAGCAAGGACGTCAGTCTGCATCATGGGGCTGAATCTGTCTATACTGCTGCCCATCATCCTAGCACCTGAGCGTGAACCCTCCGGTGTCTTCATCAAGCTTAAGGCCAGAAGGGACTATTAGAACAGCTAGTCTGATCTGTATACCTTAGAATTTCACCCAGTCACTCCTGTATCAAGCCCAATCATGTTGGCTAAAGCCACTTCCAAGAAGGCATCTAATCTTGATCTGAAGACATCCAGAGATGGTGAATTCACCACTTCCCTCTCACTCGGATCAAACTCTCCATTAACTCTTTCCCTCCCACCTCGGAAAACCAAACCACCCACTAGAGCTGGCTAACACTTTTTCATCCAAAAGTACTTTCCCAGTAGCAGCATAGGCTTTGGGTACTCGTGGTTGTAGGTTCAAGCCCCACCAATGACCACGGTGTCTCTATTTAGAGCCATGGCCTGCTACGCTGGTGTGGTTTCAAACCTCGTGCAGTCTGGGGCTCATCAGAAAAGCATAGGGCCCTTCCCAACCCAAGACAGAGGTGCTCGGGCACAGCCTAGCAGTCTCAGTGCAGAAGGTGAGGAGCGAGGGACGTTCTCTGTGCTGGGAAAATGCTGCTTTCCCCTCTCCAGAGACGCACTCAGGGCCAGGCCCTGTCCTAGCCATGCTGTTCAGACCAGGCCTTTGGGGAAACCCAAAGCCCAGTGGGTTAGTCTGCAGGCGATCGCAGACAGCGGGATGTCCCGTGCCAGGGCACGTTTCTTAGGGCAGGTGAGTCATTAGGGTCAGTCCCCAGACTTTGCCACCTGGCTCAAGCGAGCAGGGAGATGGCTGGTCTCCAAACTGCTCGTTCCACGACGGAAACCCTTCAGAGGAAGCCCTTCAAAGCGGCACATCTGCATCCTGGAGCTTTTCCTGTTACCCCCCGATCTGTAAAGCTGCAGCAACGCATGGCAATTTTAATCGCTCACCCTCTAGGCCAGCGGTTCTCAAACTTTAGCAACCCGAGGACCTCCATTTTGATTTAAATTTTTTCAGGGACCCCCAAGCTCCCCCTACTCAGCCCTTGCCCCCCCCATCACTTACTCTCCCCCTCACTCACTTTCACCAGGCTGGGGCAGGGGATTGGGGTGCAGGAGGGGTGCAGGCTCTGAGCTGGGAGGTTGGGTGCAGAAGGGGGTGTGGGAAGGAGTTTGGGTGCTGGAGAAGGATCAGGGCTGGAACAGGAGGGTGGGGTGCAGGAGGGGTGCAGGCTCTGGGAGGGAGTTTGGGTGCAGGAGGGGGTGTGGGAAGGAGTTTGGGTGCTGGAGAAGGATCAGGGCTGGAACAGGAGGGTGGGGTGCAGGAGGGGTGCGGGCTCTGGGAGGGAGTTTGGGTGCAGGCTCTGGGCTGGGGCAGAGGGTTGGGGTGCTGGAGGAGGTGAGGGGGGCGGCGCTTACCTTGGGCTGCTCCCGAAAGCAACCGGCACATCCCTCTGGAAGTGGCTCCTAGGTGGGGGCCCAGAGGGTCTCCGCATGCTGCCCCTGCCCGCAGGCACCGCCTCCACAGCTCCTATTGGCCACACTTCCCGGCCAATGGGAGCTGCGGAGTCAGCGCTTGGGATGAGGGCAGCGCACGGAGACCCCCTGTCCCCTTCCTGGGCCGCAGGGACTTGCTGGCTGCTTCCAGGAGCAGCACGGACCCAGGGCTCCTGCTCCTCCCCCTCCCTCCCAGCGCCTCCTTCACGTCGGGGAACTGTTCCCCAGCGTGAAGGAGGCACTGGGAGGGAGGGGGAGCAGTTGATCAGCGGGGCCCGCAGACCCCCCAGAGTACCCTCGGGGACTCCCAGTGGTCCGCGGACCCCAGTTTGAGAAATGCTGCTCAAGTCCATCATACCTGCCCCCGGGAGGTGACTGTGCAAGGAAACACTGAACTGAATACCTGCGTGCAGAGGGGAAGGTGGATAAAGGATAAAGCACATTTTAAGGGTCGCACAGTTTTTGGGGAATGGTTCCCCCACCCCACTAACCCTGTGAAAAGTGTCCACCTCTGTGCTCTCCTGAGCACCTCACAGTCTTCATTCACCCCCCAACAGCCTGTAAGGAAGGGCAGTAGCATTACCCCACTTCACAGGTAGCACCGGAGGCCTAGAGAAGCTCCAAGCCAGATTTTTAAACATATTTCGGTGCCTAACCCCCAAAATGAGGAGTTAGGCACCTAAATACCTCGACCAATCTGGTGCTAAGTGATTTGCCCAAGGCTGGACGGGGAGTCAGTGGCAGATCTGGGAACTGACCCCACGTCTCGTAAGGCCCAGGCAAACCCCGAACCCTCTCTCTCAGCGACACTGGGCTGAGGTTTGGGGCATGCTTTGCGGTTGGCTCGGGTCCCACTCAGGTTCAGCCCTGCGGCATTGGGCCCAGATCTGCGTTGCTACCTTTAGGTGCTGTAACTGGCGCCTGTCGTCTTCGAGCTGCCGCCTTTTATTTTCGATCTCGATCTGACGTTTCCTCTTCTCCTGAGCGTAGAAGGAAAAGACGAAGAAGGGAGGGGGGGAAAGAAAAGGATGAATTCGTGGTAATCATGTTTGTTAGGACAGACGTGGCCGGATTTAGCTTTCCGAAGGCGGGGCGTCCCATTAACTTCAGGGGGGCTGGCTCACCCGTGCGCTTAAACACGGGCCCTCGGTCAGGTCTCCAGCCATTTCCCCCGTGGGTCAGTGATTCAGTCAGTCCCTCCTGCAACCTGCAATGCCGCTGAGCTCCGGCGCTCATGGGGAGGCACAGGTGGGACGGTTTCCATTACCCGGTGGGCAGGTGTCGGGCTGGGTCCTTAGCAGGTGTAGATCGGTACAGCCCCATTTACGCCAATGGGAGCGAGGCTGATTTACCCCAGCTGGGGATCTGGCCTGAAGTTTTCAGAGGCAATTTAACTGGACTGACCTTTCTCACTGACTCAAGAAATTGCTTCCCCTCCCCGCCCCCCCGCCCCTCAACAACAGCTGAGATTTCTCCTGTCTCAGCCCTTGCGGCTGCACCATCACTGTGGTATGCAGGAGGCGTGGATGGGGCAGGCCCCCTCCATGTTGTTCTGCTTTTCTCTCTCTCCTTTAGGGTTTGTTCCTTCCATTCCCCCCTGCCCCCCGCATAATTTGTCCTCATTTTTATCTTACCCGGAAATTGTAGCTACCCAATACACAACAAATACACACACGATGCAAAACAGCGGCACATACATTCCACACCTACACAAACAACGCTTCACAACTACACAGCGATGCAAACAAGCAACACCAACCGAGCACGGCAGCGACACTCCCAACGCTCACCACCGCCACAATGCACAACCGCTACACAAACAGGCAACGCTCGACAACGGCCCTATCCACAACGACACGAGCAATGCTCACCGGCTACCTACCCAACGCACAACTACGCAAAGACTGCACGGCAGCTAAACAAACCAGGCACAACAGCTACACCAGGCACTACACAACCAACGCACAACAGCTACATTGACAATAAACCGCTGCCCCACCAATGCCTGGCAGCTACACAGCCAATGCCCCACAGCTGCACAATGTGTGACCGAATGCATCCTAAAGGGGAATGGCTGCCGGACTCGACGGCCCTGGATTTCCGAGCCCCACGGTCTGGGATTGGAGTTTGTGCCTGGATCGATTCGCTGTACTTAGCTTTTGAGCGACAGCGACTGAGGTACGTTCTAACGGCTGATCTCAGGGCAGCTATGGCGTCTACTCCATGCACTCAGAGCAAACATGCTCGAGGTTTTTCCTTTCAGATTAAGGAAGGCCATAAGGAAAGAACAAATATCGAGGCCCAGGCCCTCCAGCTGCGATCGGAATTCCCCATTCCCCTTCAGATCCCCCGCGCATCTGCCACGGGTTCAGTCTCGCTCCCGCTGCGACAGGCCCAGCTGGGGCATCGCTAGGCCCTGCGGATCCACAGTTAGTGGCCAGTAGAGCAGCCCTGAGACTTCCCCTGCCCTTAGACAAGTGCCTCAGTTCCCCCATCTGTAAAATGGGGATAATAATCCTTTGTCTATTCCGATTGTGAGCTCTTTGGGGAGGAGACTGTCTCACACTAGGTGCATGTACAGCACCTGGCACAACGGGGCCTTGGTCTCAGTGAGGCTCTCTATAAATGACTGTCGCAGTATTAGTTGTACAGCCACTTGGAGTCCCAGCTGCAAGGACCAAGCATGGGTGGACGAACGTGCTGCGGCCCCGGGTTTCATCGGACATCTGCAATGTACTTGCGCCGTGTAACGGGTTTTCATGAAATATATTTGCCCTTCACTTCCCCCCCGTGTTCTCCCAGGAGAATTTTAATTTAATTACACTGGCTGAAGCACGAGTATTTCAGACTAAATGGGAGTCTGTGCTACTCAGACAATAACGGCTCTTGTTTGCAATTGATGCCTGCCCTCATTTGAAGGGAACAACATTCATACACATGCCCAGAATTCTTGTTTTCCCAGGGCCAAAGCGAACTCGGACCTCAAGTATTATTACTATGAATTATTTCTATTGCAATAAAGCCAAGAAGCCCAGTTGAGATCAGGGCCCCATCGTGCCTGGCGCTGCACAGACACGATGAGAGAGAGTCCCTGTCCCAAAGAGCTTATAAATGAAACAGAGACAGACAAAGGGCGGGAGGGGAAACTGAGGCACAGGCCGGGGACGTGACTCACCCAGCATCACACAGCAGGCGAGTGGCAGAATGGACAATAGATCCCAGGACTCCAGACTCCCAATCTGGTGCCCTATCCACTAGATCACGCTGCATTTCTATCATGCCTTCTCCAAGCCCGTTATTAACGCAAATGAGTCAAGCCCCCTAAACAGCACAGTGAGACAGGGAAATCTCATTATAGGCCCAGAAGGGGGAAGGGACTTGGCCAAGCATACACAGTGAGACAGCAGCAGAGCTGAAAAGGGAGCCCAGAAGTCCTGACTCGCAATTCCCTGCTCTAACCACTAGATCTTACTCTCCCCACAGCTGGAAAAAGAACCCAGTCACCTCGACTCCAAGTTCTGGGTCTTTAAGAACATAAGAACGGGGTCAGACCAAAGGTCCATCCAGCCCAGTATCCTGTCTTCCAACAGTGGCCAATGCCAGGTGCCCCAGAGGGAACGAACAGAACAGGTGATCACCAAGTGATCCATCCCCCGTCGCTCAATCCCAGCTTCTGGCAAACAGAGGCTAGGGGCACCATCCCTGCCCATCCTGGCTAATAGCCATTGATGGACCTATCCTCCATGAACTTATCTAGTTCTTTTTTTAACTCCGTCATAGACTTGGTCTTCACACATCCTCTGGCAAGGAGTTCCACAAGTTGACTGTGCGTTGTGTGAAGAAATACTTCCTTTTGTTTGTTTTAAGCCTGCTGCTTATTCATTTCATTGGGTGACCCCTAGTTCTTGTGTTATGAGAAGGAGAAAATAACACTTCCTTATTTACTTTCTCCACACCAGTCATGATTTTATAGACTTCCATCATATCCCCTCCTCAGTCAGCTCTTTTCCAAAAGTCCCAGTCTTATTAATCTCTCCTCATACGGAAGCCGTTCAATACCCCTAATCATTTTTTGTTGCCCTTTTCTGTACCTTTTCCAATTCCAATAGAGCTTTTTTGAGATGGGGCGACCACATCGGCACGCAGTATTCAAGATGTGGGCGTACCATGGATTTATATAAAGGCAAAATGATATTTTCAGTCTTATTATCCATCCCTTTCCTAATGATTCCCAAGTCTTTAACCCCAAGCATGCTCTTCCTGCTGGAGTGTTGCTCTAACCCCATCAGCACTGGGACACAGAGGGCTAGAACAGCCAGAATGACCTCCCACAAGCGTGATTACTCCCAGTCCACAGATGCGGAGCTGAAGTAACTTGCTCGAGGTCATACAGCAGATCAGTGAGAGGGATTGGAATAGAAAACAGATCTCCTGGGTGCTAGCCTCTGTCCACTAGACCTCACTGCCTCATAGGCTGGGCCTTGCTTTTTCCAGCCGGAAACGAGACGAGAACTGGATTTCCCCAGCCCTCGGAGAAGATCCGAGCCACCTCCAGTCCTTGCCCCACTGTTGGGAATCGGTCCTGATTATTTCATCCGAGTCGGTTCCCGATCCTGGGAAGCGTCACACGTTTTTTTCCCCAGCCCAGAACAATCTGCCCTTTGTGTGGCAGCGACCAGCCCGATCGCAAGCGGGGACTGGAAAACTGGCAGGCGAGGCGGCCACACAAAGGTGCGGGCAGCGAGCCAACACGCGGCCATGGGGAGAGGACCACGCCTGGCTCTGTCTCAAAAGAGGACCAGGCAGAGATTGCACGGCCCAGCAGTTACATGCCTCCAGGCTGGCTCTCCGCATCTGCGGCCTCATTCACCCAGAGCTGGGGAGCTGCCGTTACAAGCGACCTCATGTCCATGGGCCTGATCCTTTGGGAGTGGAGGGCGCTTGGCGTGGTGCTCAGCTCCTTGCTGGATGATGCTTCCTGTTCTCTTGACAATAATGCCCCTTTCTGCTCCCTTACACAGCCCTTTTCTTTCTGGGCTTTAGAAGTCAGGCCCCGACCAGTAAACCACGGCATTGACCGGATGCCTCTGCACACTTGCGAAAGCCCCATAGAAACTGACTCCACCATCCGCCAGACCTCCAGGCCGCTGGGAAGGAGCCAGCCAGCCAGCAGCGACTGCAGCTCAAACCCCATCAGCTCTCACTGGCCAACAGGCAGGGGAATCTCGCCTCACCCACAGCCCAGCTGGCACCAGATAAGTGCGCCCTGGAAATCAGCTGTTTGGAGTCGGACCCACAGGAGGAGCCCCTTACGGCTCACTCAGCCGGCATGTTACTGGGTCCTAGACAGCCACCGGTAAGTGAGTCAGCCCCTGCCAAAACCTCCGTTCACTGAGTAGGCACGGGGATCTTGTTTGCAAGCACGAAATCACCCTCCTGTGGGGCCTGATCCAAAGGGCCTCAGACCCTAGAAGCTCGGAGCCTCAATCCCCTGGGGTCTACACCTTCCCTTCCCTCCAGGGCACTGGTCTCTGGGATGGCCGTGGTTGGCTATCAAACAGCAATGCCGGTGTGAAGGAACGGGAAACTAACCAGACCCATGAGGAGGGGCAGCGATCGGAAAGACTGGGAGCCTGCTGCTCCGTTCCCTTGTTCCTGCAGGTAAGGCAGAGACAGTGGGAAAGAAGAGGAGGATTGCACGCCCCATATCCTGAGCCAGTTCAGGGCCCTGCCTGGCCTCCTAGGAGAGCAGCCTCGGGGTTACTCTAACGTACGCGCCGCTTCCCATGGCCTCCGACGGGCCTTGTGAAACTGAGAACAGCTGTAATGCTCTGGCCACCCCCCACACCATGACACCTCCTTACACATACAGCCAGCTCTGCACTGAGGGGGGAGGTCCCCTGTGGGTGGGAGGGGGTGTAATAATCTCAAGGGGCTGTTTCCACCCACTTTAAGGTCCCTTTGTGCTGCCAGAGGGGCT